AACACCACCCCCCACAGAGTTGTGGGAAGCAAACAATGAATACATGGAAAGGTCTGAGACCAGAGTCTGGTCCACAGTACCACTCAGAAGATGTCCAACCATCAATCCTACAGCTGCTGCCCACTCGAGGGCTCCTTCCCCATGCCATGCCAACACCTTGCTACATTTCAGAACTCACACTTCTAAAAGCCATCTGAGGTTAAGCTAAGAGAATGCTGGACCCCAATTAGGCCAGACATGGCAGCCCTCTTCACCTAGCCATTAGCACCTGAGCAATAAGGGCCTGACGTGAGTGGTAGGCATCAGCACCATCTCTGTGGATGGGCACGTCAGCATGAAAAACTGTTCTCAGAAATAATGGGAAACACATACACAAAAGAACAGAAGGGAAATGGGTCTTTCGGAAGTGGAAGGTGCAGCAGATTCTCAAGGACTGATGTAAAAGGGTATACTATCCATTTGGGATTGTGGGGTGAGGACAAGTTGGAGGAATTCTACAGGAAAAAGACCTGAGGAGAGGCTGCCTCCTAATCTTTAGGATGCCGAACACATATCTCTCACAACAGCACCTACACAGAGAGACCTTCCTGAGTTCCCAGCCTGCTTTGAGATCAACCTCCACCCTTGCCTGTCACCTGTCCTTCCTTCGCTGGCCCTGTTAGGGAGACAACAGGATATTACAAGTTGGCTACAGATGTGACTCACACCCCCAGGCCAGAAGAACGATGAGGCAGAGGCAAAGGTCTCACAGAGCCATGGTGCTCAGAGGGGTACAGGCATGCAGAGCTCAGGCCACCCCAACCCTGAGTCACTGCACTCTGTGGGCCAAGTGAAAAGGCACAGTAAAGGGGAAAAGACAAGACTCACAGTGCCCTGTGATGACACTGATAAAGACAGGGATGCCCAGGTGCAGGCTCTGCAGCAAGCACATTATGTAACGGCCTTGAATCTTCACGAGTAGCTCATGAAGGAACAGGCTCTGGGAGGTGAAGCAACTGTCCCAGGAAGAAAGTGATGGGGAGGGACTCAAGCTCAACCCCTCTGTGTGCAGAGCCCGGACTGTCAAGGCCTGGACACGCAGAGCACCGTGTGTGTGGACGCCTCTCAGTTTTGCCTGCCCAACATCTATCTTCTAGTGAGAGGACCCCCAACTTCCTTAGGGAACCATTCCTCCCAGCTTGCCCCAGCTCCGGGGTAGGACGTGTAATGGAGCCTGCCCAATCAGAGCGTTGCATTTGTCCTGGCCATGGAGATGAACGCCTCATCCAGCCAGGCCAAGGAGATCCCATTCCATAACTGTGTTCACAACTCCTGGGAAAAGAAGCCTTTTTCCTTCTATCCCAAGGAGCAGACCACCCTGATTGCAATATGGAAACGTAGTTTCTCTCCCAACACCAAGTCCTAAGGTAGGGTAGACCCAGGCGCCGGTCAGCGGGGCTCAGGCTCTGCTTCCAAGTCGTTTTCCTCTGTTCTCTGGCCTCTTTCTGCTCACCTCCTCCTCAGGCTGGTAACAAGAGGGCTGCTTACCCTGTCAAGTCCGAGCATCATGCCCCTCCCCACTTCAATTTCCAGTAGCGGGAGAAAGGTTGTCTTTTCTTGCGTTACTTTCCTAGAAGCAAGGACACCTTTCCCCAGCCCCCCAGGAGACACCCCCTCACATCTCATTGGCCCATCACTGGCAGGGGAGGGGTATCCCCACTGATTGGTTCCAACCTCTGGGTAGAATGGACTTGGGGAGCTAACCACAAAGATACAGTCCACATCCTGGACTCGAAGGAGAAGAAATGGAAAGCCAGGGCTGCAGGGCCTGGGCCACAGAGACTGGCCCTCACAGAACAGGTCTAGATGGAGGCACCAGCCCCGCACCCAACGCCGCCTTCTCAGTAACTGAGCCAATACATCCCCTATCATGTTAAGCCAGTCTGAGTTGGGTTTCTGTCACCTGCAACCAGAATCCTGCCTAATACACTGAGAGCAGGAGTGATCTCGTGTGGCTCTGGGATAAGAAAGACTAGAGAGGTGACAAAGGCAAGACCATGATCTGCCTTCTGTGCCATGCAAGCACTTTAGATTTTATCCTGGAGCTGAAGAGGACCCACCAGCAGACAAGCAGGGCACAACCCGTCTCTACAAAGACCTGCCATCAGTGGGAGGGGGCTGGGTTAGGGAGGCTGGCAGGGAAGGCAGTAGGGTCTGGCAGCCATCTCCATGGGAGTCAAGGGAGGCTGAACCCAAGCAGTGCTCGGGGCTGGAAGGTGAGGGCCTGATGGCAGAGGCCCTCCTGAAGCAGGACACTGAGGCTGATCTGCCCAAAGGCACACAATGCCTCCCTCCAGCTTTTCCAAACTCTTCCTGATTTCCTTCACTCCCTTCTCTCCTTCCCTATCACCCTCGGTGCTGTCAGCTCCACTAGGGCCGAGGAGGAGCCCCAGCTCAATGCCCCTGGCACACAGGACACGCAGGTACAGAGAGCAGACTCCCAGGAGTTTGCACCAGCAAAGCCAACAAACACGAAAACACTGAATTCACAAAAACCTTTCCTTTCTTACATATCTGCTGAAACAAGAAATGGTTAAGGACGAAGATCACACTTTACATTTTCTAGGTAAAAGGCTTAGAAGCAGAGGGAGCTCAGTCTTGAGAGCTGATTTCCAGAGGTGGCTTCCACGGGAAGTCAGCTCAGCAGCCCGGGCACCTGATTTACAATCACCGCCCGAAAAGGAGGCAGCACTGGGACACAGGATCATCTCCAGCGCTACTCAGGGGTGAAGCATCAAGATGCAAGCCTCAAAGAGGAGATAGCCAGAACATGAAGCGGCCAGCTACCTGGCCCCAGGTTTCTGCATTTGGGCCCTTGGAGGTCCGGGGGAGCAGCTACTCCAAACACAGCCCTCTAAGGTCATAATTACATACTTTGAATCAAAATCCTACTAAAAAAAAGTGTTTATTTGCTTTACTGGCTCTTTCCTATTGTTTTGTTAATCAAATAGTTTGTGGGACAAGCCCTAGGATGTGTGCTGAGAGTGGAGTCAGACACAGGCATAGAGACAAACACAGCACCAGACAGCGCACGAGTGCCCACTGAGAGCACGCACAGAGGGAGCGGCTGGCCAGGCAAAGGTGAGTGAAGCCTGAGCTACGCCCGGGAAGGCACAAAGGGATTCTCAAGGAAAGAGATCAGGTACCAAGCAGAAAAGACAGCCCTGCAAAGGCTTGCAGGTGAGAAACCAAGGAGCAGAGGCAGAGGGCTGCTGCAGGGGAGGCAGGGCAGAACAGGAAGAGTTTGCTGCAGCTTGTTGGGGTAAGAAAATAGATTCTTTCAGACATCTAGTCTCATCTCATCCTTGTGATGAGCTTCCAAGAGCAGAGGCAAAGGGGAATGTTACAACGCCTAGGAGAACGGACGATTTTCTTTTTCCTTCTGGGGATTTTTTAATAAAAAGGAAAATAAATCTGAATATGCACTCGATTTGGAGGAATATGCTATCAAATTCTAAACTTTTCTCTAAAAGTTTTATCAACTAAATGGTTATCCACATATATCTAATAATGTTTATCATCATTATCAGAACATTGACTTGGATTCACAGTACACCATCAGGGGCTGTGAAGCATATTTCCATTTCAATAATTCACTTAGTAGCCCTGAAAAGAACTGTGTCTTCCAACCAGGAAAGTATCCTGCCATTTACTACTTCTGGAACCACCACAGAAATTCCACAGGAGAGGAATATTGGATGGGAACAATGAAGGGATGAGAGTAGCAGCTAGCACTGCGTGCCTCCCAGGTGCTGGGACTTTGACGTCCATCCTCCTAGTCGGTGCCACACCACTGTGCTCCCTTCCAGAGCCCTGGACAGAGGCGAGCACACAGGGCTCATCTACGTTTGGGGTGAATTAGCGAAACACAGAGATGCTGAGTAACCTGCCTGTGGCCACAGTCTTTTGTCCCTCTGAACTCCCAGGCTTCTCTCTTTTCTCCACGGTCTGTGGCTCGGAGAGATTTTGGCATTACAACTCGGATAGCCAATCACCACTGCAAACATCACTAGCCTAAAGTCCCAAGATCAAATCTCACCAGAGGGATTTCCCAGGCTGAGGATCGAGAGCCAAAAGGCCTGAGGAGAAGGCTGGCGAATCTCAGGATGTCTGGCGTTTAAGCCACCCTGGGGTCTAAATGGGATTTGGATTTTCTCCTTCACTCCCTGTTCCCCAACATTTCCTTGATCAGCTAATGGGCCCCAGCTGGGAAGGGACGTTCCAGCAGAAATCAGGGCCGGGGTCTGCCAGGCTCCAGCAGGCCGGCCCTGGCCAGGAGCGGAATGCGACTGTTTATTTGGAATGGCTGTGCCCGCCTCGGAGGGAGGTCAAGTGGTCAGATGTGTCCAAGGCGATTAGTGAAATCTGACAGGGATATCACTGGGTTTGGGAAAAGGGCCACCTAGTTTAAAGCTCCTGCCCAGCAATGTCCCCAGTGCCCAATAGGCACCAGCCACCAATTACAGTTAGCAGAGGGCAGGAGTGAGAGAAGGCGTGGAAGGAGAGGAAATGCCACCGGCCCTAGGATCTCCTTGGGGTCTCCAGAAACAACAGGGAGGGTGGCCAGAGCCTGATCTTTGGTGCTGGACAAATGACTTCAAAGGCTGTCTCTGCTGTCTCATGGCTTAACTCCCCTGAGCATAGGTTTCTCATCCGTCAGATGGGAATTACAGGAAGGACGGGAATGAGCAGAGCTGGCCATCAGTATGCCAACAGTTCTGATTCTACTGCTAACCTAAAGCCTCTCAGCGCTGACAGGCACTCAGCTCCATCACCATGCAGCCCCTCAGCTCACTCAGCTCCATCCATCACTGTGAAGCCCCTCAGCTCACTCAGCTCCATCACCGTGAAGCCAATTCAGTGCTGAGGCACACTCAGCTCCATCACCATGAAGCCCCTCAGCTCACTCAGCTCCATCACCGCGCAGCCTCTCAGCTCATTCAGCTCCATCACCGTGAAGCCCCTCAGGGCTGACAGGCACTCAGCTCCATCACCGTGCAGCCCCTCAGCTCACTCAGCTCCATCACCGTGAAGACCCTCAGCACTGAGATGTACTCAGCTCCATCACTGTGAAGCCCCTGAGCGCACTCAGCTCCATCACCGTGAAGCCCCTCAGCACTGACGTGCACTCAGCTCCATCACCATGAAGCCCCTCAGCTCACTCAGCTCCATCACCATGCAGCCCCTCAGCTCACTCAGCTCCATCACTGGGAAGCCCCTCAGCTCACTCAGCTCCATCACCGTGCAGCCCCTCAGCTCACTCAGCTCCATCACTGCGCAGCCCCTCAGCTCACTCAGCTCCATCACCGTGAGGACCCTCAGCTCACTCAGCTCCATCACCGTGCAGCCCCTCAGCTCACTCAGCTCCATCACCGTGCAGCCCCTCAGCTCACTCAGCTCCATCACCGTGCAGCCCCTCAGCTCACTCAGCTCCATCACCGTGCAGCCCCTCAGCTCACTCAGCTCCATCACCGTGCAGCCCCTCAGCTCACTCAGCTCCATCACCATGAAGACCCTCAGCTCACTCAGCTCCATCACCGTGCAGCCCCTCAGCTCACTCAGCTCCATCACCGTGCAGCCCCTCAGCTCACTCAGCTCCATCACCGGGAAGCCCCTCAGCTCACTCAGCTCCATCACCGTGAAGACCCTCAGCTCACTCAGCTCCATCACTGCGCAGCCCCTCAGCTCACTCGGCTCCATCACTGCGCAGCCCCTCAGCTCACTCAGCTCCATCACCGGGAAGCCCCTCAGCTCACTCAGCTCCATCACCGTGCAGCCCCTCAGCTCACTCAGCTCCATCACTGCGCAGCCCCTCAGCTCACTCAGCTCCATCACCGTGAGGACCCTCAGCTCACTCAGCTCCATCACCGTGAAGACCCTCAGCTCACTCAGCTCCATCACCGTGAGGACCCTCAGCTCACTCAGCTCCATCACCGTGCAGCCCCTCAGCTCACTCAGCTCCATCACCGTGCAGCCCCTCAGCTCACTGAGCTCCATCACCGTGCAGCCCCTCAGCTCACTGAGCTCCATCACCGGGAAGCCCCTCAGCTCACTCAGCTCCATCACCGTGAAGACCCTCAGCTCACTGAGCTCCATCACCGTGCAGCCCCTCAGCTCACTTACCTCCATCACCGTGAAGACCCTCAGCACTGACATGCACTCAGCTCCATCACCGTGAAGCCCCTCAGTGCACTCAGCTCCATTCACTGTGAAGCCCCTCAGCGCTGACATGCACTCAGCTCCATCACTGTGAAGCCCCTTCAGTGCTGATGTGCACTCAGCCCCCATCCCTCTCACAGCAACCCTAGAGGGCTAGCTGGGGTTGCAACTCCTCATGAGAAACTCAAAGCTCAGAGGAGTTAAGGAATCTGCCCAAGTTGATAAAAAACTTAAGGCTTTTTCTGACATCAGTCCTTTCCATCCAAAATCTGTATTAGTTTCCTAGGGCTGCCATAACAAATAACCACAAACTTGGTGTGTTTTTTTTTGAGGAACATTAGGCCTGAGCTGACATCTGCTGCCAATCCTCCTCTTTTTGCTGAGGAAGACTGGCCTTGAGCTAACATCTGTACCCATCTTCCTCCACTTTATATGCGGGACGCCTACCACAGCATGGCTTGCCAAGTGGTGCCATGTCTGCACCTGGGATCCAAACCGGCAAACCCCGGGCCACCAAAGCAGAAGGTGTGCACTTAACCGCTGAGCCACCGGGCTGGCCCCATGGTGTCTTAAAACAATAGAAACTTATTCTCTTGCAGCTCTGGTGGCTAAAAGTCCCAAATCAGTGTGTCAGTAGAGTTGGTCCCCTCTGGAGTCTCTGAGAAAGAATCCTTTCCATACCTCTCTCCTAGCTTTTGGTGGCTGCACGCAACCATTGGTATTCCTTGGCTTGTGGACGCATAACTCCAGCCACCAGTTTCATATGCCCTTCTCTCTGTGAACTCTGTGCCACTGGATGATCGTCATTAGATAAAGAGCCCACCCTCATCAGGATGATCTCACCTTGAGATCCTTACTTTAATTACATCTGCAAAGACCCTTATTCTAAATAAGGTCATTTCTGAGGTTCTGGATGGACACACATTTTGTGGGCCACAAGTCAGCCCACTACAGTTGACCCTCTGGTCCCCAAAACTTCACATCTATCCCATGTGCAAAATACTTTTGCAATATCCCCAAATTCTCACCCCATTACAGTATCAACTTTCAGTACAAAATCTCTTCTAAATATTATCAGCTCAAACATCTCATCATCCAAGTCTCCTAATTCAGTATGGGTAATACTGGTATGATCCATCCTGAGGCAGAATGTCTCTCATCTGTTGACCTGTGAAACTAGAAAACCAGGAAAAGTTACCTGCTTTCAAAATACAGGCATAAGGAGAAAATGGAAAAAACACAGAGGTCATTGGTCCCAAGCAAGTTTGAAACCCAGTAGAACAAATTCCATTAGGTTTCCAGGCCTGAGAATGACCCTCTGTGGCTTGATCCTCTACCCCCTGGGCCCAGGGAGGCTCCACCGGCCCTGCCTCTGAGCTCGCCTCTCGGGCCTCTACATTTGCGTCCACAGCTCTGCCCCTGGAGCCACTCAATCTTCCTTTTTCTTGAAGGATAAAGCGTGTCTGTAGCTGAGTAGTTCTATCAGACTATTTCCTACCTGTAGAATCCCAGAAGTCCAAGTGCTTTCTTTCCTTTTTCATTTCATCAGGCATCTCTACTCCTGGCTTCTGCTGAGATGTTTGATTGGATCCATGAGTCACACACCTAATCTCTTCAGCAAAGGCTGTCCAGCCTCACCCCTGGCCTTTCTCCAGAGCATACTTTCTCAAAGTGAATTTCCTCCCTTTAGCGTCCTTTGGAATCTGGATAGGCAGAGAATCTCAAGCGCTGGCTCCCTTTTGCTAACAGTTCCTTCCTCAATTCATTCCTTTCCTCTTAGATTTTACTATAAGTAGCACAGGAGAAACCAGGCTGCACCTTCCACACTTTGCTTGGAAAACTCCTCAACCAAATATCCAAATTCACTGCTTACAAGTTCTCTGACTTTCTCTGACTAGTAAATTAGAGAATTATACAGCAATAGATACCAAGAGGGATGAAGTAGGCTGGGGGGAAACAGGTGCACAAAAGCAAGAGGAGAATTAAACTGCTATTTGCCAAGCACCTCCCATGTGCCCAAGTCCTGTAGATCAGTAACTGGAATCCTGATAGGAGGAATTCCACCTTCATAAGGAGGAAGAGTACCCAACGATCTCAGAACATGCCCCCAACGCAATATCCCCATCTGCTTAACGTGATTCTCTCTGCCTCAGCCCTCCCCCACATCCTTGGGCCTAACATTGCAGCCACAGCCACTGATCCTGTCATCAAACACCACCTCCTCCCTCTAGAGCCTCAAGTACCCACAATTCAAAGTTTATCTCCCACAGAGCCCTCTTCTGATACCACCTTTCTACTCCCAGCTCCTCTCCCCGGCCGCGAACAAGTCTTCTCCCAGAGGAGAAGGGATACAGGTCAGGATGGCCCCTAGGGGTCTGCCTAAGGGAGCACAGGGAATGGAAAAAAAATTAGCATTTGATTCATTCTCTGTTCCAGCTAAGAATTAACACACAGTCACTTATAATCTTAATTTTGTTAAATGTTAAGTTTAGTTTATTTTCATAATTTTGTGCTTTACTTTTTAAGATTTGCACTTTTAGTCCCTGGCACAACATGGACTTGATGCTCACCCCTGAAATGCCCCTATCCTATATCCTCCCAGGTTGCCCCAGACTAAGAAGGGGCAACACAAGGCACAGGTGCTCCCCTTCCCTCCACTTGCTCAGGGCAGACACTGCTATCATGGCCGTCCCCAACCCCCATGTGATGGTGAATTTTATGTGTCAACGTGGCTGGGCCACTGTACCCAGATATTGGTCCAGCACTATTCTGGATTTTTCTGTGAAGGTGTTTTTTGGATGAGAATAACATTTAAATAGGCAGACTTTGGGTAAAGCAGATTATCCTCCATAATGTGGGTGGACTCCATCCAATCAGTTAAAGCCCTAAGTAGAAAAAGACTGACCTCCCTGGAAAAAGAGGAAGTTCTGCCAGCCAACAGCCTCTGTACTCGAATCACACCTCCTCCCTGGGTCTCCATCGTGCTGGCCTAACCTCCAGATTTTGGACTTGCCAGGCCGCACAATGATGTGAGCCAATTCCTTAAAGCACATCTCTCTCTGCACACACATGCACATACGTCCTTTTGGTACTGTTTCTCTGGAGGACCCTGACTAACATACCTAGTGAGGCAGACAACCTCAGAATCGGTCTCCACGCAGCCCTCCAGGGAGAACTCTCAGTTAGCACGCACACAGAATTCACTCACCCACGGCTGTGACTATATCCTAAGGAGCAGCTGGCATTGTCCCTGGCTTAGCACACAGGGCCAAGTGCCTCTGCTTCCCTGCCTCTAGGTTCCTGAGAACTAGAGAACCGCCCTGGACCCCAGAATTCCTGGTGAGGTCTCCCTAGTTATAACTAGCTCTTGTTCTCTATCCTTTATTCCCCTTCAAGGGGAAGGGTTGTCCAGGAGGCTATAAGTTTTTCTTCTCCAGTAAACCAAAACTGTAAGAAAAGCCCACTGGAGAAGGGGAATAGCAAGGCCACTGGACACCTTTCAAATCAGAGCCACGCCAGAAGTTACTAAAAGATGGGGAGAGAGCTAGCTGTCTGCTCTTCTCAGAGGCCTTCTGAGGGATGAAATAGCATCTGCCAGTGGTCATTAGGAGTGTGAAACTCATCTGGATGTCTTCCAGATAGTATGACTGAGCGATACAAGATTCTAATTGTGTTTAATTTGAAATTCTTGTGATTAAGTAAAAGGTACCCAGAAATAAGTCTGCAGGTACTTGTAGAAAGGGAGGGTTTACCCACAGCACCCTCACTTGTTGACCATGTGATCCTGAGCCCCCCACACCTTCTGGAGCCTCAGTTTCTTTATCTATAAAGAATACCTACTTGGGAGGCTCATCATGGCACATCATAAGCCTCCAATAAATGAGCATTATTAT